AACCTCAATAAATCCCACATATTCTAATGTCAACAAATATGCACACAGTCTCAACTGAGCACATGCACATCCCACATGTGGCAGGGAAATTTGTCACCTAAGAAATGGAAAATTTCCTTCCTGACTTCCACATGGAGAGCAGTTAATTCAGTACTAACATTTTATATTTGCTCATGTAAAGTGGCACACAACTTTAATCCCCCGAAGTGGATACTTAATCTCCTTGCTCTAGAATAAGGCCATATTCTCACTCAAAAAATAACTTACAAAAAATAAAAAAACAGGAAAAATCTATGCCTTTCCAGGAATGAAGCAGAAGGTCTGATGCTGTGTGCCCATGTTTAAGCATATGATGCTACATGCTTACGCATGGTCAGCTAAATCACATTTTGTGACTGAGTGAACACCAGTTCCTTCCACAGGTACTTTCTTCTCTGTTGATTCTTTGCTTTTACTTCAATTGGGTTACTTAGAGAAGCTTTCTCCTTCCTCCGGTTTTAACTCTCTAGCAACACTAAACTTTCTGAAGCCAAAAATTTCAGCTTTTTCGACTTTGAACTCTTTGTGGAATTCAACTGAAATCAGACCGAAGATCCAAAGACAGATACAATTACTTTGGTCACATAAGGCTCATTTCCTGGGAAAATCAAATTGAAACCTCTGTTTAGGAGTGCCTAGACCCAGACTTTGTGCATTGGCCCATAATTAAACATGCTTGTTACGAAGAAGGATGCAATATGTTTTGGAATGTTTGGAATTACTGTCTCTATAAAATTAACTGCTAAAAATACATCTAGACTGTTGATAAATTCTAGCCCTTTATCACCTGCATTAATGCTAGCATAATGAAAATCAGTTACCAAAGTTAAATTTGATTGTAATAAAACAGTACTCTTAAAATAAAGCACCTGCTATGAGCAATGGTTTCTCTGCTAAGCTTTAAAAAAATTAATAGATGTAAGAACTGTGTTGTGTCATTTTCCACATCTTCAAATGGAAACATGCAATGAAATCAACCAATAATTACTCTTTGCTGTGTTTTCCATTTGTCCCAGCTACATGGCTTCCTTCAGGAATTCCCAAATTTCATCTTACTGTACTTTTTTTTTTTTTTGTATTCCCTTTTTCTAATATAAGTTAATTATCTGTCCCGTAGAATTCATTTGTCATTGTAGTGCCCCTTTTGTTCATAAAAATATTAGTTTTGTAGACACACATTCATGCCAGTGCAACTTTGTAAAACAAAAGGACACTAGATTACTACTTACTGAAAGCAAGAAATGTTTTGGAGATGCAATATGATGACCTCTTTCTAAAATGCATTTCCACAGAGTATTCTGTTTTTCTCCTTAGGAAAAAAGTAACTGTTCATAGTGCTACGAGATCTGTTGTTAATTGCAAACATATGCACTGTCATCTTACCAAGGTATTTTAAAAAACAAACCAACCCACAACAACATGACTGAATTCCTATTCTATGATCCTTACCCTGAACAGCTATATAAAAAGGTCTTCCCAGTGGACTAAGTGCATGGTTGGTTTTTTTGGTTTGGTGTTTTTTTTTTTTTTTTAAAAAAAAAAAAAAAAGGCAAATAAGTTGAAATTTCTAATGTTGCCTTAAGTGGAGAAGGGAAAGAGAGTGATTTTCCTGCGATATAGGATATATGCTAGTTTGGAAGATGATGGAAGAGTTTCGGTGAACTAATATTTTAAAATATCTGTTGCGTCTCCAGATAAGCTTAAAAAACTTGTTTCTTTTGTGTATTTGTAATACAGGAAAAAATAACATAATCCAGTAAAATACGACTGACTGGCACAGTCAAGCAACCAAGAAATATTTTTAAATCTGCTTTTTAAATTGACGTATACTCACAGGTGGAATGCTGTATTTTCCCTTCTTCCAACATTACCTGATTTCTTCCTTCTCCTGTTTCAAGTTCTATTTTCCTACACTTTGACTTAAGTTGATTAAAAAAAATTCTGGACAGCAAAAAAGAGCTTTCAGTACTTCTCAGCTATCAGCTGATTTTTTATTTCTCTGTGCCTCACAGTCATTCCTTCTTTCATTTACATATCTTAATATTCACATCAACTCAATCACAATTTCTCAAAGAAGCCAGAAGACAAGCTGTCATTAACTTTCATCTTGTGTTTTGGCAGTCTCTATTATCATATGGAAGGAAGTGTTTGTAAAAGTAGTTGATTCAAGCCCTCACACAAAAAGACTATCCTCAGAGGCTGTAAATCTTTTTGTAATGTATCCGGCTACTTGACCAACACTCAATTTACCAATTTTCACCCTACAACACTGAAAAAAGTGAAATATAGATAATAAATATTACTTCCTCCATGCCACCTCCACCCTCCAACTAGTTCACCTGTAGCAGCAAATTTTATAGAGTGGTCGTAACAGGAAAAAAAGGAGAAGAGAAAAAAAAAAAAGGCAAACAATCTCTTCCAAAACTGTGGGGTTTAGATAGCACCATAATAATTCCTTTAATTATTAGGTTCCTAAACATCTGCAGGATTTATGCTTAAAATATACCCAAAACATGCTATGATACCTTCCAACTTCAAACTGAGGATGAGACAAAGTATCTCAAAGAACAAACCATCTGAAATTAGGATAAAAATTGCCTGTTCAGTTAAGGTTACAGGTCAAGCATGACTATGTAGATAAGTACTTCATCCAAGCAACTTCAAGCCAGTATAAAACAAAGACCCCTTCACATCTCAATGCAGCATCTACAGAAAATCAGATCATTTACTTAAATACTTGCAGCTGCCAACAGCAATAAGAAATCTCTTTAAACACCTTCTATAAAACTTGCTTTTATTTGCAAATACTAAGAGGATGAAGAGGCCTTTTTGGACATTCTGTCCATATATCAGTTTCAGATTTTCACACACACCACACAGGGAAGAGACACTTGGTGCAGAACAATCTGTCCCTTGCTACAAAAAACATTAAATGAAGATATACAGCAGCAGAGAATTCCAGGGCTCACAGAGGAAAAAACCTGACCTGGTCAAAGCATAAACTGGATACAAGAAAAACAAACAAACAAACAAAAACTAATAAAAAGGCCAGGGGGAAACAAATTTTTCAGAGAAAGAAGGCATGCCATGGAGAAGATGGACATACCAAAATGTGGGGGAGCACATGGGACAATTTCTGTACGGTCACTGGACATAGGACATACCTTTGCAATAGAGCTACAACAGCAGAATCACAACTCCTCTGTTTACCACTGTTGTTTTCAACTGTTTTTCATTACAGGCTTAAGATCCTTTAATGAAATGCAATTACAAGATTTATAGTACTTTGCCTTAGGTTCATCACCTAAATTAAAGATTAAAATGCAGTTGTCTCTTGTAAAGAGACTGGATCAACACTTGGTTATTTTCATGTTGTTTCTCAAGAGTTTCTCCGTGTGTAAGCAAAAATTACTTTCCCTTCTAAATGCCACTGAAGCCAAGGTTGCCAAAATATGTTCTTATTGATTAGCACTTTGTTATCTTTAATAAAGAAGCAAAAGACCAAATTCTGGTACTCTCTAACAACCGTAAAATAGCATTATAATCTTCTGAATATGAAGACACTGGCAACACAGCTATTATCAAGAACACAATTTAGCCAGAAGAGTGTGTTTTAGGAATGTATTCAGCTCAGCTCTCGGAGCCCAGAATGAGAAAAACTTTGATTTTTATGAAGTCTTAACATTTTTTTCTTAATGGGGTGAGGAGAGGGAGATGTAGAGGACCCAGACTCAGCAAGAGGCAGTGAAAACATGTTTCTTCAAATAGATTCTGATTATCATAATTTTTCATCAAAATAGACACATCTGAATTAGGATGAAATATATTCGTAATCACATCTGAAGTTTCTGTAACTGACACCTTCTTAAGGATCTAAAGCTGTTTTACAAACAACAACTTATTATCCCTCAGAACATTTTTCTTATGTTGGAAAGAATTATGCTAACACCTCAGATCTTTGAAGCCCAAAATCTGTTTCTCCTGACATCATCTGTTTTTTTATGAGAAAAAAGAAAATAATTTTAATTTCCCAGTCCTTTATTTTAAACAACATTATCTATCCCTCTTCTCTATAACCCTAAGGAGAATAACACAAAGCAACCTAAATAGTAAAAAATATGAACATAATTTTGATTTTTGTATAGTTCATATGCAATCCTATTTTTTGAATGAGAAGCTATCAACTGTATTTTGTTCATCTAGTATTTCAGTTAATAAATTCATAAATTCTACCTTGATACTTCCTACAGTCTTCCCTATCCTAACACTAAAATTTAGCCAACTGCAAACCCCTCTTAATTTAAACAAATAACACTCAATAATTTGCTTACATATTCTTCATGAGCAACTGATGCAATACATGGATGCAAAGGATGCAACTCATTCAACTGAAGCACAGTATTTTTTTGGTATAGTTCTATAATCATAAGCACTGAAACAAAAAATGTAATTGTATAATGTACGTTGAAACTAAAAAATGGTTGGAGAAGACATTCTGCATTTTCAAGTTATTTAAGTACATAAAGGTTGCTACCAAATCCATAAAAGGGTTTTACGTGGTATGTTTCAAAGCACACCAATGTTAAGCAGATCTAATGTTTTCCTACAACAGACCCCAAAGCCCTTCTTCTGGAGCTCTATTGACAAACTAGGTTCTGTCTGCATATTCCTATCACGCACAGTCTAACTCTACAACTTAGATTAAAAAAACCCTTTTTTTTTTTTTTGGTGCTTATTACCAGGTTGCAACTTTGAAAATTCTCCCTTCCTAGCCAGCTCCCCCCCATCCCTGCTCACCCTGCCCCTCTTTCCACTAGGAACTCCCTGTTGTTCTGTAGAATCAGACGGTGGGGCACCAAACTCCCCACAAGACATAAGGATTTTTGAGGTTCTGCCTGTAGAAGGTTATGACTCAAATAATTTCATGGGCTGAAACTAGAATTTTCTTTGTACTGGCTTACCTCGTTCTCTTTGGATGTGTGCTGTATCATGAGAGTATCCATGGCTCTGATCATTGCTTGCATGGCAGTAAATACATTTTGGTAAACCAGTTTTGTGAAGCCTTTCCTGTCTTCTTCTGTGTAACCTGATCCATGAATAATCCTCATTTGTTTAATGAATGTACTCTTGCCACTTTCTCCTGTGGGAGAGGGAAAGAGGAGACAGACAAAAAGTACTGTACTTGCAAATCCTGGCAGTTGAGAATATTTGTAAATACACATACAAAGATGTGCACCTTATCTGAGCATGCACAAGTGTCACCATTAACTGCAGTATAATTTCTGAATTTTTCATTCTCCACAACCTATAATGTTTTAGTCAAAATATTGGCATTGATGGGTTTGGGAGGGTTTTTTAGTAAAATAATATACATATAAGTATCATCTCATAATACATCCTACAACAAATAATCTAAGCATCCTGTAGGTAGAAGTCAGATTACAAAACAAGCAAGGTACATGAGCACAAAAGAAAGAAATTACGTTTGTATAGGGATCAAATTCCTCAACATCGAAAACTTTGTATAAAGTTGCTGTTCCATTTACACCTTAACAATAATGCCCGCACTAATGCTGAACTTGGGAAAGAATTTTATCATTATCCAGCTACTCTGGGAATTATTGATTCTATTTTTAAAAATCCTAACAAACAGATACTATAAACTCATATATGCATTTACATCATTCATGTAATATTTTGCATGTATATACTACTTTAAGCCCATTTACAGGACATAACAATGTATTGCCTAACATTTTTCAGGACATAAGCCTTGTTTCTCTGTTCTTTTCTATTAGTCTTACAACAGAAAAACATCTTCACTGACTCATATCAAGGGTCCATTCAGGCAGTGTCCTGTCTCCAACCAAGTTTCTAAGCGGTGGCCAAGAGAAGAGTAAAAAGAGGGGCTAGAATACAACACTTTCTCCACAAAAACCTCCCCGTATCTTAAAAGGTAGGAGTTAGATTAGAAGCTCATTAGCTGAATGCTACCTATTTGGTAGCCCTACTGTATCTCTCAAGTACCCAGGCAGGTCTCTCCTTAAAGCCACGGAAAATTTTTGCATCCTCAACGCATTTTAGTATGGAGTTTTAGAGCTCTATCATCCATGGTACATCATTTGTTCTGAGCCTGGACCCACCAGCTTAATTTCTGTTTCTCTGTATTTCATTTCTGTATTCAACACCCCTACCTTCTCCACACACTCTTCATTTTATACAACTCCATCATACTGCACTGGGTTTACATGGCAAGGTTTTGGTTAGTGCTGGGGCTGCAGCAGTGGCTTCTCTGAGAAGATAGATGCCAGAAGCTTCCCTCATGTCACACAGAACCAGTTTCACCAGCTCCAAGAGGGACTCCGCCACCGGCCAAAGCTGAGCCCATGAGCAATGGTGGTAGCACATCAGTGATAACATATTTAAGAAAGGGTAAGAAAAGCTGTGCAACAGCTGTGTGAGAGGGGAGTAGGGAAATGTGAGAGAAACAGCCCTGCAGACACCAAGTTCAGTGAAGGAGGGGAGGAGGTGCTCCAGGCATCTCTGCTCTCTCCTTCGCAGCAGAGAATCCCTTGCACCTCAGGGAGAAGACCACGGTGGAGCAGGCTGTGCCCCTGCAGCCCACAGATGACCACAGTGGAGCAGATGCCCACCTGCAGCCTGTGGCGGACCCCACATCAAGAGCAGGTGGACGTGCCCTAAGGGAAGCTGCAGCCCATGCAGAGCCCATGCAGGATCAGGCCCCTGGTAGGAGCTGTGGCCTGTGGGGCACCCACGCTGGAGCAGTCTGCCCCTGAGGGACTGAACCCCATGGAAGGGACCCACGCTGGAGCAGTTTGTGAAGAGCTGCAGCCTGTGGGAAGGACCTATGTTGGCTAAATTTGTGAAGGACTACTCTGTGAGAGGGGCCCCGGACTGGAGTGGGGGAAGAGTGCAGTGAGGGAGGAGCATCAGAGATGAAGTGTTACAATCTGATGACGACCCCCCATTCCTCATGCCCCTCCGCTGCTCGGGGGGAGCATGTAGAAGAATCAGAAGTGAAGTTCAGCCTGGGAAGAAGGGAGAGGTGGGGGTAAGGTGTTTAAAGATTGGTTCTTATTTTTCACTGTCCTTCTGTTATTAATTGGCAAAGAATTAATTTAATTTCCCTAAGGTGAGTCCATTTTGCCTGTGATGGTAATGGGTAAGTGACCTCCCTGTCCTTACCTTGACCCATTAATTTTTTTAACATATTTTCTTCTCTGTCCTGTTGAGAAGGGGGAGTGATAGAGCAGCTTGGTGAGCACCTGGAGGTCAGCCAAGGTCATCCTACCATGCATATTCACCTTCAGCTGTACTTTTTCTACATTGAAGAGTCTTAACCAGGTCAATTCAGTTCTCACGTGGAAGATACTCCATAGCTTGATCATCCCTTTGATCCTTGATGAGGCTTTCTCAGTTCTGTTTACCTCTGAGATATACCTACAGAACCTAAACTTCAAATACTAAAGTGCTGCCAAAACTTAGATTTATGAAGTGTCATCATTGTTTCATCTGTACTGTAAGTAATTAAAAGAGAAAGAGAGTGCATGTGCAATATAGTTGTTCTCCATCTGCATTATGTTATACTGATCTACAATTAACTTTACCTGCCATTTTACTGCCTACTCTCACGATATCCTTCTGCAACTTTCAGTTATCCTTAAACTTGAATAACACTGAGCAGAAAAATTTCTCTTGTAATTGCTCAACCCCTTTCACACTATACCTTTCATTTTCTCTGTATTTCCTGTTATTCAGAATCAGTATGGTGTGACTGAACAAATCCATTCCTATCCCACAGAGCTGCTATATTGACAGGGTCACGGTCAGCATTTTCTTGCTCTCCCCAACTGAAGGAGGGTACAGGAGCAAAAAATACCTGTTACACTTCCTTCTTAGAACTGTAATTTTTTCAGAAGTTTAACAATTAACTCCATTCTGGATGGGCTACAGGATTTGCTTCACTTCTTCACCAAGAATTTACTGCTGGTAGAAGTATTTCCATTAACAAACTTTCAGTAATTTATACTCAGAACCACTAGGTGTCGAAATACATCAGCACAAAGGGGAAAGGGTTCATCTGAACGTTATATCTTCAGCTATAACAAAGCAGGAAAATCCTGTGGGTGCCCACCTCATCATACTCTGTATCTCAGTACCACAGCAGACCAGTCTCACTTTAATGAAAAATCATGCAACTGCAGGGTTCCAACCATTAACAGTAATATCAAGCAAAACTCGGGTAACCTAGGAAAGTATAATACGTTATGTATTACTCATATATCATAGCCATTTTTCCAAAACATTTATCACTGTCATTGACTCTTACTGTATAACCTTCTTTCATATTTTGTATCATCCATTGTGGGCTTCCTTTCAAAGCTGTAGCTGTCCCTTATTCAAGCCCAAGTTGTTCAACAGTCCTTCTCTAGGACATTGATAGCACATTTCTGGTCTCCAGGAAACAGGACTTACAGCACTCATCAGAAGCGTGAAGCAACTTTTTAATCAAACAATAAAAAATATTTAATATATTTGTCTGTAAAATGAAGAGTAATACAGCTGTTCTTTCAACAAATGTTTGGGATTTCTTTAATTCTGGCATTGTATTGGTTTACTTGAGAGATGGAACATGGAGATATGCTGGAATACATGTGAAACAAATTCCTGGAGGAATTTGTTTTGGTAAAATGCTAATGTTACATTATATATCACAGTCCTCAAAGACAGTCCTGGCAGTCAGCTTTAAGAAGTCAACATAAATACAATTCAAATACAATTCCGTTTAAAAACAAAGCAAAATGAAAAGAAAACCCACCACTAACTTTTTCACTTCCAGTAGAACCCTTATATTTGAGAGGAAAACACTCTGATTAACCCATCTTGAATTGCTGGACTAAATTTTTATATAACTCAGAATAAACAGTCCTATCACATTACAGCTGTACCCCCTACTAATGTTTGAGTTAAAGAAAACCCATTGTGCAACTGTTAACTTCACTGTCAGGGATATGTAACAATGCTGTGAAATTAAGTTTAGAAAATCTAATTCAGCTTTTAAAGAAATATAATTTTTTCCAAGACCCACAAATACTAAAGTCAGATGAAACCAGGTTTGAAGAGATTATAATCTGTAATTCAAACTAGAGTTCTTTCCTGCATGTATCCAATTTAACTTTAAGAAATTTAAGGTTAATATTTTATTATGATCTGATTTGATCTAATCTATATCAACTCATAGCAAATGAAAAATGTCTATTTAAGTGATATAAAGTGCTATGAAATACATGGGTAATAAACAGAGCCATCCTGCTTTACCCCCTTGACCTCTCATAATTCTGAACATAAATTGATTTAAAAGCTTTGTGCTCCCTATCCTGACCTTAAGTAGAGTGCACAGATTTCCTTCTGTATTCTCCCTTCCAGCAACTCCTTATGTGCCTAGCTATGCCTCTTGTCATAAACCCAGGATACAGACAGAGTCTGTGCAAATCCAACAATACATGCTCTTTGCTTCTCCATTCCCATAAACTATTTAAAAAAATCTTCAGGGCTCATTAGCTTACAAATTAAACAAGGCTTTTGAAGCACATCGTGACAGAGCATCACTTTAAAGCATGTTAAAAAGTGTCAGGGCTTTCAAAAAGAGTTTGAATATGGAGTAGTCATGCCAATATGCATACTTGTGAGATATTAAGCTAAAGATAACTGCATTTCAGGATGGAACTGCATATATAATCAGATTTGGATTGAGTATCTTTTTAATTAAAACAGTTGAAAAACAAATGCGGACACACAAATTGGAATTTGTGTTTTAAGACTTCAGGTTGTGGGGCTTAAAAAAATGCAGTACAGTTTTTACATTAGGAATAATAAAAATGGTAATAGGGTAATAAAAAGCAGGTAGTACAGAAAGTGTAGATAATAGAACAATTAAATATTGATGTGTTATATACCTTGGAGGTACATAATCATGTCTTAATGCCATCAGTTCTAGAAGCATTAGCAAACTTGAGGCTTTAAAACGTGACTATGTATCTCCAAGTTTCTGGAACTCTGTTATTACAAGTAAGTTTTAAAAGGTTATTTGTGTTAAAAAAAAAATTAAAATAAAAACAAAACAA